TTCGTTCCATTTGTAAATAACCGGAGGATTTATCTTCATTTTCATAACGACTGGAACCTAGAAGATAATCATAGTATTGTATCAAATCCGCTTGATTCTGTAGACCAACATACAGTCCATAGTCCTTCTTCTCGAGGATTGCAATATCCTCTTTGGATATCAACATTTGGGTGTAGTAATTCTCGACGAATCCGTAGATCTTGACTTGATTGTAAAACTCCCTTTCGGCTTGTTTTGATGACATACTGGTTAGATACTGACTATCGAATACTGGCAAGCTGGACCAATTTTTTGTTTTTAGAGTTAATGTCAAAGGAACATTTTGGGAAACTGATGTCATTGGGACGCAATCGTTAAGTGTTGTTATTACCAGTGTGGAATTTGTGTGATTTTTGAGACTTAATTCATTATATGTGCCTTGTTTTGTCGATGTTAAACAGTGGAAATAGGATTCTTGGATTATATCAATGGTGGTGATTTGAAGAGTAAAGGTTGTATCCTTTTTGATTATTATGCCAAAGTGAGATTTGTACTGGAAGTGAACTGGTCTGACGACGTAATTTTTTGATTCTGGTTGGTAGTGTCGTACTAGTGGATTCACAGTTGTTGAAAATTCCTGCAAAGGGAAAGTGTGGAATTAGAAAATATGGAGATGTTTGAGATTAGATGGTTCGTTAGATGTAAAAATTAGATTAGTAGATAATAAAGCCAAAGATGATACTAAAGTTGCTGCAAATGTTGCAGTTATTAAAACAGAAGGTAGTGCTAAATATGCTTTAAATTATGCTACAAAAGGTGATGCAAATATTGCATTAATGAAGCAACAGATGGTTGCTACAGATGCTACAGATGTTTCAAAATATGTTACAAAAGATGCTGCAGAAGATGGTACAAAAGATGCTAATAATAAAGCTGAAGATGCTACCTTAAGATGATTCAAAAGATGGTACAAAAGATGTTAATAATAAAGCTGAAGATGCTACCTTAAGATGATTCAAAAGATGGTACAAAAGATGTTAATAATAAAGCTGAAGATGCTACTTAAGATGATTCAAAATATGCTACAAAAGATGCTACAAAAAATGCTGCAGAAGATGGTACAGAAGATGCTAATAATAAAGCAATAGATGCTACTAAAAATGCTGCAGAAGATGATACAAAAGATGCTAATAATAAAGCTGAAGATGCTACTTAAGATGATTCAAAATATGCTACAAAAGATGCTACAAAAAATGCTGCAGAAGATGGTACAGAAGATGCTAATAATAAAGCAATAGATGCTACTAAAAATGCTGCAGAAGATGATACAAAAGATGCTAATAATAAAGCTAAAGATGCTGCAAATGTTTCTATAAAAAATGATGTCAAAATTGTAGTTAATGAAACAAAAGATGATACTAAACATGCTGCAGAAGATGGTACAAAAGGTGCTTTAAATGAAACAAAACATGATACTAACAATGCTCTAAAAATGCTATTAAAAATGCACAAGATAATGCTAAAGATACAACAAAAGATTGCGAAGATGCTGCTAAAGATTATACTAAAGATGCTATAAATCATGATATTAAAATTGATATTACTTATATACAGCATGATAGTAACAATGCTAATCATGCTAATGATGCTAAAGATTTTAAAAATTCTAATGATGCTGAAAATGCTAATGATGCTAAAGATTTTAAAGATTCTAATGATGCTGAAAATGCTAAAGATACTGAAAATACTAATTATGCTAAAGAAGCTAATGATGCTAATGATGCTAAAAATGATGCTAAAGATGTTAAAAACTAATGATGCTAATGATGTTAATGATGATGCTTAAGATGCTAATGATGCTAAAGATGTTGAAAATGCTAATGATGCTAATGATGCTAAAGATACTGAAAATACTAATGATGCTAATGATTATACTGATTATAATTATTATAATGATGCTAATAATGTTGAAGATGCTAAAGATACTAATGATGTTAATGATTTTAAAGATAATGCTTAAGATGTTGAAAATACTAATGATGCTAATGATTATAATGATGTTAATGATGATGCTAAAGATGCTAATGAAACTAATGATGCTAAAGATGTTAAAAATACTAATGATTATAATGATACTAATGATAATGCTAAAAATGATGAAAACACTAATGATTCTAATGATTATAATGATTATAATGATTATAATGATGCTAATGATGATGCTAAAGATGCTGAAAATACTAATGATCCTAATGATGCTAATGATTATAATGATGCTAATGATACTAATGATGCTAAAGATGTTAAAAATACTAATGATTATAATGATGCTAATGATAATGCTAAAAATGATGAAAATACTAATGATTCTAATGATTATAATGATTATAATGATTATAATGATTATAATGATTATAATGATGCTAATGATGATGCTAAAGATGCTGAAAATACTAATGATGCTAATGATGCTAATGATTATAATGATTATAATGATGCTAATGATGATGCTAAAGATGCTGAAAATACTAATGATCCTAATGATGCTAATGATTATAATGATGCTAATGATACTAATGATGCTAATGATGATGCTAATGATGCTGAAGATGTTAATGATGTTAATGATGCTAATAATGCTAAAGATGTTAAAGATGCTAATGATGCTAATAAAGACGCTATTAATGATGAAAATGATATATGTAGAAAAATTACTACTTACATCTTCGTTCCATTTAATATTTTCATCGCTGAATACAGAAGAAAAAAGTATTAAAAGTAAATGTCCAATAATTACAAGTCGCATTTTTTTCTTATTTGTTACCAACTGAATAAAAAATAAAAACAAAACTCCAAACCCTACTGCTTTAAATATTAAGAATAATAATAATAAATTTGAATGTCCACCGCAGACTTTTTGTCGAAAAATTATTTTATAATCGAAATGATTATACTTATATACGTAATCGTCTGTGCCTGTACATATCACAAATTTAAAAGATATTCAAAGATTGTACATTAAAAATAATAAAAAATATATATATATATATATATATATATATAAACATATATAAAATCATTTTTCACTCTTGAATCGAAAACATTTCCCAAAGTAGAATTAAATACATTTTCATAATTTCTTTATCATTATAGGAAAAATAATTACAAGATTTTTTTGTCGATTACTGTCTCTGATATATCTTGATGAATAAATAAAATCTCATATTTTATAATATGTGTCCAATAATAGAATATTATAAATATCTGATGAGAATATAATGTGTTTTTCCCGAAAAAACAGAAAAAAATTAATAATTGTAAAAATAATGTTAATAATAATATATTATGATAATTATTTATTGCGTCATGGATGATTGTTATCATCTTGTTTGGTTATTTTTTCTTGGTCCGGCGAAAACAATGACAAATTTTTATTATTATTCGAGAATTTTACTTATACTTCAATCTAATTAATTAATTAATTAATTCTTCAGACTTCAAACTTAGTTCTTAATACATCAGACATAATACTTCAAACTTCACACTTACTTTTTAATACTTAATACTTAATACTTAAAACTTATTTATTAATATTTAATTTTTAATACTTCCTATTTCAAACTGAATACTTAATATTTAACACTTATTTAATACTAAACACTCAATTCATAAGACTTCAAACTTTATACTTCAGACTAAATACTTAACTCATTTAATTTAATATTTCAGACTAAAGACATAAGAAGTATTTAAGTTGTAAGACTTTTATAGTTCAGACTTAATATTCAACACTAAGTACTTAATACTTTAGATTGAAGGCATAAAAAGCATAAACTTCAGACTTTAAATTTAAATAAAAAAAAAAAAAATTTAAATTTAAATACTTAATTCTTCAGATTCAATACTTAATAATTGATACTTATACTTCAAACTGAATACTTAATACTTAATATTGAAAACTGTACTCTTAAGCCTGGTAACTAAATACTTAATACTTATGACTTCCAACAATATTTAATACTTTAGAGTTAATACTTAATACTTTAGACATAATACTTACTTCTTAACACTTCAAACTTAACACTTCAGACATAATACTTCAAACTTCAAACTTAGTACTTAATACTTCAAACTTCATACTTAATACTTAATGCATAAAACTTAACATTTAATTCTTAGTACTTAATTTTTAATGCTTAATACTTCAGACTTATTACTTTATACTTAACACGTATTAATTAAGACTTCAAACTTCAGACTTAATATTTACCACTTGATTCTTGAGACTTTAAACTTAATACATCGGACTAAATACTTAATCCTTATCGCCTTTAATATTTAAAACAGATTTCTTTATACTTAAGACTAAATGCTTAGGAAGCATAAACTTCAGATTTAATTCATAAGACTTTAAACTTCAGACTTAAATCTTCTAATTGAATTCTCTTAATGCTTCAAACTTTACCCATTAAAGCCCAAATATAAAGTAATTAAGTAATTATTATAAATTAATATAAAGTATTAAGTATTAAGTGTAAAGTTTGAAGTCTTAAGAATTAAGTAATAGAATTTTAAGTCTGAAGTATTGAGTATTCATAAAACAAAAGCACCTAATAAAAATATTTCCCTCCTCTCTGAGTGGATTGTCGATAAAGTAGATTTTTATAAAAATCCCCCTTTAAGGATACCGTAGCGCCTTAAAAAAATCGAGTTTCCACTCTTCTCGATTCATCGACTATAGTCTATGCCACCCAAAGTGTGCAGTACTTCCAAACGCTGTCTCAATGCACCACGCACGCGCCACTTCTTCTCCCTTTCATTCGTCGTCGCCAAAAAATTTTCAAACACCCTCCAATCGTTCTTTAAAACCCACAAGCATGCGCACCATAATTCACCCACTTCTGAAGAGTGACACACATTTTACATCAACTCACATTCCAATCTTCTATAATATTCATCTGTGCCACACTTGACATTCCTCCCCCACTATCTATATACAAATACGTATACAAACTATACAATTATACACACAATCAATTCAGGAAACGTATCCAATCGCATGTGCTTTTACTAATCAAACTTTTGTTTCTCTTTCTCTCTCTCTCTCTCTGAATTTTTTTTTTATTTTTACTCCTACTGTGATTCATCGAATACTCATTATTATTGTCAATTTGAAACGATATCTTGGAACAAATTTTTCTTCTATCCATTTTGCCATATATATAAACTTAACACATTGCTTACCAGATACGTATATACAATACAAATGGATTATTACTTGTCAGAGGAAGTGTTTAACGAACAAATACAATTGAATAATATTATTATTCTGATAATAGATTGAGAGCAACAATAAAGCAAAGAATAATTTATAAAAAAAAAATAATCTTCATAAAGTGCCATTATTTAACGGTAATTAAAAAATAAAAAAAGAAGGGTGTGAAAAAATGGATTACAAAATTGTTTATCGAGCATTTTTATTGGTTATTTTGCTGTTAATGCAAAAATGTAATTCAATATCGAGAAAAGTAAGTTTCATAATTATTATCTTAAATTATAATTCGAAAAAAAGGGATTAATCATTTTTCTTTTGTTTAAGAAAATTATTTCTATTTTTAGTTTTTTTGTTTATTTAGTTAATAGATTGAACAATGAGAATTTATTTAATCGAACAATGGAATTTTCAATATTTCAGTTAATATTTATTTAGAAATTAATTAATTTAGGTAATTATTATTTATTTTTTGTTATATAAATAATATAACTGATATAATATATAAATAATATAATATAAATTTTCTAAATAAATATAATTATAATAATAATAATTTATAGTAAAATGTTTATAACAAAAAACAAATAATAATAATGATAAATAATTTTAATAAATTATTATTATTATTATTTGTTTTTCTTATAAACATTTTATTTTTTAAATTGCTATTCATAAATTTCATTATTCATATTATTATTAGGTACTATTATTGTTATTTGCTTTTATTAATAAAAAAAAAAAAAAAAAAAAAAAAAAAAATTGTATTGTTATTATTAAAATTTTTTTTATTATTTTTTTTTATTTATTTTATTTGTCTTTTGTAGTCAGAAGTGGAAAATTATTATTATCATTACTACATATGAATATTATAATTAACAATTTTTTTAAAAATAAATTTAATTTACAGTTAAACACAAAATTTTTGTCGAGTGACGATGAAAATTGCAAGAGTCAAAAGAATACATTGCTTCATATTAATGCCGAAGGTCCCAATGATTCGTTGCATTATCTTTGGAATTTCATTGATAATCCGTCGGTTCTAGTTGCATTAACGAATAAATCGTCAAAACTAGATATTAAATGGACTGTTGATCCATTTTCAAAGTTAAAACAAACAACTGACTGTTTACCTGAGAAAATATCATTCAATGATTCTGCCATTTTTTCATATGGATTGAGTATAAAAAAGGTTTGTTCAAAATTAGGAAATTTTTTTTTTTTTTTTTTTTTTTTTTTTATAAATAAAATATGTTTTTTTGAAAAACGTTTTACTATTTTTACTTTTCTCATTTTGTTTTTATTTATTTATTTCAGTTATTTACTTATTTTCATCCTTTTTTGCATTATTTTTATTTATTTTTATTTTTTATATTCAGCATTTATTTAAAAATATTTCAAAATAAAAAAAAATCTAAAAAAAAATTTGTTTCACAGATTTACGAGTTTAATGATGCTAATGACAATGGAGTTATAAACTCATCGAGCAGTGCAAATATTAATGTATTAAATCCAAGTTATTTCGTATGGTACGTTAGAAATAAAGTCATTGGCGACGAAACTGTTGAACTCGAAATGATTGGACATTCTTATTATGACGAGGAGAAAAATCTCACAAGAACCGGAAGCATAGCACTTTTGGTAAAAATTCCCATTAATTAAAAATTTTTTTTTTTTATTCAAGGCAAAAAAATCGTTTACCCACTGTCGGTAAAAAAACCCCCATTTTTCTAGAAAAAAAATTTCCAATTATCAGAAATAATTTCTATTTACAGATTAGCGTATTCGGTGAACTCGATCGTTTTAATAAACAACCATTCATGTTACACTCGGAGAATACGACGCAAATTGATTTATCAATCGATAATTTTGAGACAAATAAAACATTCGCAAATAGTCGATTTGCAATTGAATTATTATTTGTCAGCGATGGTGAACCAGACATTGTAATACCAGTGAATGTGAAGAGAACAATAAACGACGAGCATACACCGGGAATATTTAAATTAGTTGAAATTAATACACCAAAAAATGAGAATACGTCAATGTACTTACAATGGCGACCAATTTCTTACATGACAAAGGAAAGAGATGTGACTGATTCGACGGATGTTGTTTACTATCCGTTGGGAAAATCAAAAGATGCTTTTGATGATGCAACGAACAGTATTTTATTACCATATTATAAGGAGAATATTAATAAGATTATTGCGAGGAAATTAAATGTTTCGTTTGGTAGTAATGGAGATGGATTTTATAAGAAGACGAATTATACAACGTGGTAAGTGGTTTGAGTATTATTTTTATTTTTTAAGTTATTTGGATATTGTAACTGAAAACAATGACATCGACTTCGAGTAAGTTGCTGTAAAGAATACTTTTAATGAAGGAAAAAGTGGTAATAATGAGGTTAAAGATACTACTTAAGATGAAGCAAATGATAGAAACAAAGATGCTGCTAAAGATATTTTTAATGGAGTAAACAATGCTACTAAAGATGCTGTAGAAGATGGTACAAAAGATGCTAATGATGAAGCTAAAGATGCTACTAAAAACGCTGCAGAAGATGGTACAAAAGATGCTAATAATAAAGCTACAGATGGTACTTAAGATGATTCAGAAGATGGTACAGAAGATGGTACAAAAGATGATAATAATAAAGCTACAGATGCTACTTAAGATGATTCAGAAGATGGTGCATAAGATGCTAATAATAAAGCTGAAGATGCTATTTAAGATGATCCAAAAGATGGAACCAAACATGCTGCAAATGATACTTTTAATGAAGCAAATAATGCTACTAAAGATGCTGCAGAAGATAGTACAAAAGATACTTTTAATAGAGCAAAAATTGCTATTATAAATGCTGCAGAAAATGGTACAAAAGAAGCTAATAATAAAGCTACAGATGCTACTTAAGATGGTACAAAAAACACTAATTATAAAGCTAAAGATGCTACTTAAAATGATTCAAAAGATGGTACAAAAGATGTTAATAATAAAGTTAAAGATGCTAGTTAAGATGACCCAAAAGATGGAACCAAAGATGCTAAGAAAATACTTTTAATGAAGCTAACAATGCTACTAAAGATGCTATTAATGAAGCAAAAGATGATTCATCTTTAGTAGTATTGCTTGCTCCCTTAAAAATATCTTTTGCATCATCTTAAGTAGTATCTTTAGCTTTACTGTTAGCACCTTTTGTACAATATTCTGCAGCATCTTTAGTAGCAATGTTTGCGACATTAAAATTATTTTCTGCAGCATCTTTTGTACCATCTTCTGAATCATCTTAAACAGCATCTTTAGCTGTGTTATTAGCATATTTTGTACCATCTTTCGATCTTTTTAAATCACCTTAAGTAGCATCTTTACCTTTATTATTAACAACTTTTGTACCATCTTCTGCAACATCTTTAGTAGCAATATTTGCTTCATTAAAAGTATCTTTTGCAATAGATGGAACCAAAAAGGTTGTAAATGATACTTTTAATAGAGCAAGCAATGCTACTTAAAATGATTCAAAAGATAATAGAAAAGATGCTAATAATAAAGCTAAAGATGCTACTTAAGATGATCCTAAAGATAATACAATAGATGGTACAGAAGATGCTGCAAAAAATACTTTTAATAAAGCAAAAGATGGTAATACTAAGACTAAAGATGCTATTTAAGATGATGCAAAAGGTGGTACTGCAGATGCTGCAAAGATTAATGAAGCCAAAGATGATACTAAAGATACTGCAAATGTTGCAGTTAATGAAGCAAAAGATGATAATAAAAGTGCTTCAAAATATGCTGCAGAAGATGGTACAAAAGATGCTTATAATAAAGCTACAGTTGCTACTAAAAATGCGGCAGAATATGGAACAAAAAATTCTACCAATAAATCTAAAGATGCTATTTAAGTTGATGATGCAAAAGATATTTTTAATGGAGCAAACAATGCTACTAAAGATACTGAGGAAGATGGTACAAAAGATTATATTAATAAAGGTAAAGATACTATTTAAGATGATGGAAAAGATGTAACCAAACATGCTGCAAAAGATACTTTAAATAGAGCAAACAATGTTACAAAAGATGCTGCAATAAATGCTTCTGAAGATGGAGCAGATGATACTAAAAATGTTTTTTAACATACTACTAAAGAAGCAAAAGCTGATAATAATAATGCTAAATATACTACTTAAGATGATGTAAAAGATGGTCCAAAAGATACAAATTATAAAGCTGAAGATGCTACTTAAGGTGATTCAGAAGATGGTACAAAAGATGCCAATAACACAGCTAAAGATGCTGTTTAAGATGATTCAAGAAGATTCAAAAAATGGTACAAAAGATGCTGGAAAAAATAATTTGAATGTAGCAAACATTGCTACTAAAGATGCTGCAGAATATTGTACAAAGATGCCAATATTGCTAAAGATGAATCATCTTTTGCTTTATTAATAGCATCTTTAGTAGCACTTTTAATATCTTTTGTACTATCTTCTGCAGCATCTTTAGCAGCATTGTTAGCTCAATTAAAAGTATCTTTTGCAGCATCTTTGGTTCCATCTTTTGGATCATCTTAAGTAGCATCTTTAACTTTATTATTAGCATTTTTTGTACCATCTTTTGAATCATCTTAAGTAGCATTTTTAGTTTTATAATTAGTATCTTTTGTACCATCTTTTGAATCATCTTAATTAGCATCTTTAGCTTTATAATTAGTATCTTTTGTACAATCTTTTGAATCATCTTAAGTAGCATCTTTTGTACCATCTTCTGTAGCATCTTTAGTAGCACTTTTAATATCTTTTGTACTATCTTCTGCAGCATCTTTAGTAGCATTGTTAGTTCAATTAAAACTATCTTTTGCAGCATCTTTGGTTCCATCTTTTTGATCATCTTAAGTAGCATCTTTAACTTTATTATTAGCATCTTTTGCACCACCTTTTGAATTATCTTAAGTAGCATCTTTAGCTTTATAATTAGTATCTCTTTTACCATCTTTTGAATCATCTTAATTAGCATCTGTAGCTTTATAATTGGTATTTTTTGTACAATCTTTTGAATCATCTTAAGTAGCATCTTTTGTACCATCTTCTGTAGCATCTTTTGTAGAATTTTTTGCTACATTAAAAGTATCTTTAGCAGCATCTTTGATTCCATCTTTTGATCTTTTTAAATCATCTTCAGTAGCATCTGTAGCTTTATTATTATCATCTTTTGTACCATCTTCTGCAGCAGCTTTAGTGTCATTGTTAGCTTAATTAAAAGTATCTTTTGCAGCATCTTCAGTTTCATCTTTTGCATCATCTTAAATATTATCTTTAGTCTTATTATTACCATTTTTTTCTTTATTAAAAGTATTTATTTCCAGCAAGATAATTTACAAATTTAATAATTAGGTCCTTCTATAAACACAACATCAGAGAATTAATTATTCTCTATTAAATAAAAAAACCAAAATTCCGATCCAATTTCTATTGTAAAAAAGAATTCTAACCATTTACTTTATCTTTCAGGACACTGTTGCTTGGCTACAGTCATTCACTTGATGAACGTTTCACCAGTGGTACAATTATTCTTATTTCAAATCTTATTGGTCTTCCTTTTTTGCTGCTAATTTTGTACAGTTCAATCATCTATATACGTAAACCATCAGTTAGAGAATAAAAAATTAATCATGACAACAACAAACAAAAAATTCAAAAGAAAGTGGGGCTTTACACCTGAAATGCTCAACAATTATTGTGATTACAGTTTTTAAATTTTTATAATAAGCAAATGTATATAAATGTATTTTATCTATATCTCTATTATGTACCTATATACCACATGTATGTAAATTACGACAAAAATTATTTTCATATATAGAAAAGCACGACTAGGAATATTCTCTAATGTGCCTTCCTTTTGCACTGTTACTATGACTACTATTGCAGATAGTAAAAAATATAAATAAATTAATAAAATAATATCGACGATTTAGTATTTAGTTTTGCAGTTCGAAAGAGATCTCAATCCTCAATCCTTTTAAATTAAATTCTTAATTAATAAGTGAATAAAGAGGAATAAAAAGGAAGTATCCCTAAGCTATTAGATGAAAATCTGGACATGAAAACAATTTATGTTATGTTCAAACTGTCTTTAAAAAATAGAAGAACTATTAATGTGGTAATGCTTTAGAATATTTCGGAGACATGAATAGGTAGAGAATTAATTGTGTCAGAAACAAAAGTGAAACAACATTTTGGTTATTACAGAATTTATTTATTCAACATAAACTAAACCTGTTATAATCTGTTTAGTGTATTATAGGTATTTTATTACGTCTGCTCGCTTTGATTTTGAAAATAATTTATTATCCATTGGGCACAAGAATTTCTAGACTGAAATAATACTTGACGTTAAATTCAATGTAGTGCCTGGTGCAATGGGAGGATTTTAATTATTATTCCAGAGCAGATTTGGCCTCTTTATCCGGCGTTTTATTGCTGGAATTTAGAGTAGTTGTCTTTTGGGTTGTAGTAGATGAATTTGGGTTTGAAGGATTATTAGAAGCATTAGCAGATGCAGTTGTACTTGTAAGATCATTGGCAGCATTGGCAGATTTAATTGCGGTTTCTGGTTTACTAGGAGCATCAGCGGAACCAACTGTGGTTGTTGGTTTATTAGGAGTATCAGCGGAACCACTTGTGGTTGTTGGTTTATTAGGAGTATCAGCGGAACCACTTGTGGTTGATAGATTAATAGAACCTTTTGCAGCTTCAGTTGCAAGACTATTAGGAGTCTTAGCTGTTTCACTTGTAATTGGAGAATTATTAGCAGCATCAGGAGATTTACTTGCTTCTAAAGGATTATTAGGAGCATTACCAGAAGCAGCTCTGTTTGCTAGATTACCAGAACCAGATGGGTTTATTGGATTAATGGGAGCATTACCAGATCCATCTGTGTTTGTCGGATTATTAGCATCATTACCAGAAACTTTTGAAGACAAAAGATTAATAGAAGACTTAGCAGATTCATTTGCTCCTAAAAGATTATTAGAAGCACCAGCAGATCCATTGGTTGCTAAAAGATAATAATCTTTACAGTTCATAGCAAATTGTCAAAAAAAATAAAATAAAACATTAGAGAAATAAATAAATTACCAGATCCATTCGTTGCTGAAAGATTAGTAGAAACATCAGCAGCTTTATCAACTTTTTCAGAATTTCCAGAAGCATTAGCACTACCATTCTTAGTGTTTGTCAGACCAGATAATCGCAAATCAATGCTGGGTATTGCGGTCGATGTTGAATTTAAAAGAATTGCGGTTGTAAAATTAATTGTGGGATTCGATAAATTCTCCGCAGTATTTGTTGGTGTTTTATCAGCAGCAAGTTTAGCATTATCACGTGCCTGGAATATTGCCGGTATTCCAAATACTGTCGCCCACAGTCCTAGGCTATTTAAAAAAAAAATTAAAACAGACTTTGGGAATTTTTTTTAGATTTTAGCCACTAAAATTATTTTTTTTTTATTATTATAAAATTATAATTGAAATTCATGTCAAAATTTCAATTATATTTAGAAATAATAAAATTCTTCCACAAAATTCAATTATTTCCAATAATTTTAATAAAATTCTTGTCAATAAAATTTGGTCAATAAAATTTGAATTATTTTCAAAATATTTAATAAAATTCTTGGCAAAATTTCAATTATATGTTAAAAAATTTTTTTAACAATAAAATATTGATCACAGAATTTCAATTATTTTTAATACAATTTTACAGGAATTTCTCGTAAAATGTAATTATTCTTAAAAATTTAATTTCAATTCCTCGCAAAAATCAATTATTTAAAAATATTTTTTTTAAATTCTTGTTAAGAATTGAATTATTTACAAAAATATTAATATTTTTCAGAGGAATTTAATTATTTATCAATTATTTTATATACAATTTTAATTAAATTCTTTTGAAATAATGCAATTATTCTTTTCGCAAATCAATGATTTTCAATAACTATTATTTTCATAAAATTTCTAAACAGAATTCAATTATTTAAAAAAAAAATTTGTGAAAATCTTTTCTTCAAAAAAAAAAAAAAATTAAAAATTAAAAATGTAACTATTATAAAAAAATAAAATTAAAATAATAAAATAACAAATTTTTTTTGTAATATTCCGAATGAAATAAACTTTTACTTTTCCATTATTTTAAAGTAAAAATAAAATTTTGATAAAAACGAAAATTGATAATACTTTTAAAAACAAAAATGTAATTCGGTTTTAGAAAACAAAAAATTTTTTATCTTACAGGAAATTATATAAGTTTATCAATTTAGAGAAGGGGAAAAAATAAAATGAAGTCGTTAATAATTTCTTAATGTTAAATTTAAAATTGTTTAAAAAATAAAAAAGAAATTCTAGAATGAGTGTTATAAAATTATAATTTTGATTGAAATTAATATTTTGAATAATAATTATTGAAAATTTTATTTATTATTTAAGATATATTAAAATAATTAATTAAATTAATTCGGATACACAATAGAACTAATAGATTTAATAGAATGAATAGAATGAATAGAATTTATAGAATTAATAGAATTAATATATTTAATAAAATTGAGATAATTAATAGAATTAATAAAATGAATTATAATGGTTATAGAAATTAATTATTAAAATACTAAAAATAATAATAATGATGACAATAAAATAATATAGTTAATGATAAATAAAGTAATAATATAGTTAATAATAAAATAATTATTATTAGATTAATAGTAATTTAAATTTACTTTATTTTTATGTATTTATATTATTTAAGAAAAATTTATAGTAAAAATATTAAATCAAATATAAAAAGTACCCACTTATAATAAAAGTATATTTATGAAATTAAAAAAAAATAATTTTGTCCAAATATTATTCAATATTTATTAATATTGATTAATTAAATAAAATACTTACAGTGGTAAAATAAAAGGCATTTTTTATTCCAATGAACAGAAATTATTATTTTCTTCTTTTGTCTATTTTTATTTTCTTTTTTTGCTGATTGACAAGTGGTCAGGTGTTTTTAACAGAACAAAATACGCTTGAAATTGACTCTTTATTATTATTCCCATTTCATATAACAAAAAAAGGCATAAAAAAATATCTTTAACTTTAATGTTTTGTTGACCAATGAAAATAATTATTTTTTTGCTACATAAAATTTTTGCCTATATCAAGAATGACACGTGAAGAAGTTTTTCTCTCTGTGTGTGTGTGTTTATATTTTTTTTTTGCAAATATCAAAATGAAAAAAATTTTTTTTTAATCTTCTGTAATAGTAATAGAAAAAAAAGTTTCAATTGTTTTTGAAGAAAAAATATTTTTGCTGTTTTTTGTTTTATAAAATAGAAATTTATATATGCTTCCTTTGAAGAAAACAAATCTTTATTATTATTTAATAAATTTTTAAAAAAATGTTTTTGAAGGTAGAAATTTTTTTATTTATTTTTCTTTAAAATAATTTTTTTTTCACAATTATTTATTCCTTACGATTATTAATTACAATTTTGTTATTAAAAGTTATTTTCCATTAGAAAATATTTATTAATGAAAGTTACCTATATTAAAAAAAAACTGTTTATTACTAAATTAATTAATTAAAAAATTATGTATTATTAAAAAAAATGTTTATTATTAAATTAATAATTTAACAAAATTATATATTATTAAAAAACTATTTATTATTAATAATGATTTTTTATGAAAATGTAAAACTTTTTATAAAAATAAAATTAAAAAATTATTTTTATGAAATTTTAAAAAAATATTCATTAGACAAAAATTAAATATTACTACATTTTCTCATAAGATTTTGTTTCTCTTTAATAAAAAAAAAAATGTTAATTTAAAAAATAATGTTATTTATGTTAATTATTTTCCTATGTCTTTGACATTTAATTATTTCTTTGTTTAACTTAATGATTTTTTTTCTATTTTCCTATTTCTTTGCCATTTAATTATTTCTTTGTTTAACTTAATGTTTATTTTTTTTTGGTAAATTTTCTTATAAAAAAAAAAAATTTCTATTTAAAAAAACTTTTTTTTAAAATAATTAAAATATATATTTTTTTTTATAAATAGAAAGAAACAAATATTTTTTTTCGTTTTTTTTTTTTGTGTCTAAATGATATCTTCTCTAAAATGTTATTATTTTATTTATAAATTTATTTTCTTCTTTTCATTTTTTTTCTCAATTTTTCTCTGTATTCTTTTTTATTCTATGCCTTTTCTTAATTTTTTTCTGCATTTAGTATTTTAATTTTTATTTATTTTTCGTTTATTAAAGTTTTTCTATTTATTATTTATTTTATAGAAATTAATTTATATCCACATTCGGAATTATTATTTATATTGAAAATAGTACAAGAATAATATTTTTAATTTTTATTTTATTTATTCTTTTTTATGTATACATAAGCATTGTTTTACATACAAGTGAATAACAAGAGATTATAAACGATTAGAAGAGCATTACTTCCAGGAAATTCATATTTTGTAAAGATCTGCAAAAAAAAACTATTTCCAAAAATTTTAGTATTAAAAAATATTTTTGGTCTTTTTTTCATTACAATTTTTCTCTGAAGCGATTTCTAAACGAAAATATAGTTTTCTACTAAATAAACTAAAAAATTTTTTTTTGTTAACTTGTTAACTTGTGGAGAATTTGGATTTCTTTTTAGGGATATTCCTAAATTTGTATAATAAGGTAAGGAGGCCAGCACTTCCAATTCCATCTGCTGTCACTAACAAACTGTTATAAAAAAAAAAAATTTTTTTTACATTTTTTTATTTTTATTTTATTAATAATAATAATTCTGACTGTGGGCTGAATTTAATCTGTGTTTCTGACTGTTGATAAAAAAAGATTATCAACTGAGCTGTAATGTTTGAATATCTGATAAAAAATATTCAGTTGGGCTGAAACAAAATGCCTGAGAGTCAGAATAAAAATCAGAATGTCGTTTACAAATCCAAGAGAAATATAAGAGATTTATTTATTATTCAAAAGTATTTAAAATATTTATTTTTAATTTAATTACATTATATATTTTACTTGTATACTTACAAAATGTGAAATAATTGCATCTTTTCGAGTAATTACTGACGTTGCTTTTTTTTGAAAAAAAATTGAAATATAAATCTCAACAATGTAAAGATGTAGAGTTGACTTCACTTTTTTTCTATTGTACAAGTAATAAATAATATCTTAGAGATTATTTTAATATTTAGTCGTCGAATGAAAATTTTTATTTTATCTTTTCATACAAGTTTCTAAAAAAAAAATTCAAAGTTTTAAAACAATAAAATACATGATATAAAAAACACAATACATAATATATGTATAAATAATATATTGAATTTTGCTCTTCATTTATATTTTTTGTTTACATTTTTCAATTGTAGATTATTAAATATTTAATTTTTTTTTTTTTTTTTTTTTTTTTTTTAAGTAACAATTTTAAAATAAAAACAATAAAATAATAATAAAAGATTATCAATAATGAAAATAGAACAATAATTTAAAAAAATATTACATTTATAATAATAAATATAATGAGTAATATATTATAATAATAAATAAAAAATAATATAAACACGATTATTTAAAAAATATTTTTTAAAAATTAATAAAAAAACTGAAGCAAAAATTTAAGTTAAAATAAATTTTTTTTTAAGGGTTAAGTTTTTTTTAAGGAAAAAGGTAATAGGAATTAAAGGAAAAAATTTTCTTTTCCTTTCATATAAATAAATATTAAAAAAGCAAAAAATTTGAGTGTTAAGCTTTTTCATTTATTGAAAATATTTCTGTAAAATGTGTATATTGGCCAGGCCACATTAGCTAACAAACCGAGTTTTTCATTTTCTTTTAATGATTTTTTAAAAAAAGAAATGAAATCGTAGCGAATAGAAAAACATAGTTTTTTTTAGAGATATATTAAAAACTAACCATCGCTCATCTTTTTTTTTTTTTTATATATCCTAAGTAAAGGACCAATCAACGATACGACCGCTTACTTTTTTTTTTCTTTATTATAATCTTAGTATATTAATTTATATTGTGTATAACAAAGCGGTAACAACTTGTTAATTGTAACTATTTACGATAATAATAATTATTCTTTTTTTTTATAATATAATTACAATAAACAATATAAAGAATCGAATAACAAACCAATTTTTTGTCCTTATGTTTTTTTTTTTTTTTTTTTTTTTGAAGATCCGATATTATAATTCAAATTTTCAAAAAAAAATCGTGATTTTGCCCTCTCCCTCCCCTCCCCCCTTTTCATTCTTAAATTATTTAACAATTTTTAATTTCTTTCATCGCCATTTTCTTTTTTTTGTAATTGTTTCCTTTTTTTTGTTTTTATATTTTCTTATAATATTGTGCAAATAACTCAATAAATTTTCTTTTTCTTATTTTTGAGAATTTTTGTTTTTTTTCCTTTCTTTCGGAGAAATGAAAAAATCGTTGGATTTTTTTTGCGCATATAAAGGACGATAGGTTAATTTTTTTACAATTGGAAAATTTTTCAATTGGAGGTATTCACATAATTGTTGAACAATTTTTTTTTTTTTTTTTGAAAAAGCCAAATATTAGGTACTTTCTAATAATTTTTTTCAGGCATAAAATAAATCTGTTAAGACAGAAAATAATTTTTTTTTATAACATAAAATTTTCATTTGACAGAAAAGAAATTTTTTTTTAAGACAGAAAACATATTTTTTAATAAAACAAATAATTTTTTTTTTTTTAAGACAGAAAATAAATCTGTTAAGGCAGAAAAAAATTTTAAGCATAGAAAAAAGAATTTCTTTTTAAGGTAAAAATAGTTTTTCAAGAAAGAAACAGAGAGGTGCGCGTTGTTGGAGCAATGAAAACTTATTGCGCCTGCGCGATAGATCTTCGAAGCGCATGCGCGACGTAATTCTCAGAACTCCTGCGCGCTAGATCGTAATGGTGCCTGCACACCGAATTTTTTTTATTGTAAAAATAAAAAATCTTTTATTTTCATAATAAAATGTTTTAGAAAATTATGTAAACACCTTCAAATAGTAGTGGACAATTTTTTATTTTCATTAATATTTCAATAACTAGCGATTTTTATTTTTTTTAAATTGGATTCTTAGCTCATCTATCTAGCTTGACCCATAATGGCAGTTGCTTGTTCATTACTAGCCGAAAGGCTCATTAATTTTTATTTTTTTTTTCGTCAATATTTAAATTCATTTTTAGTGAAATTTTACACTCGACATTTAGCCCTCTATTAAAAATTATTATCTCCTGTTATTTTTAAAAGGGAAATATTTTTTTTCTTCCTCTTATACCAAATAGACGAAAGAGATTTTCTAGAAAGCCTTTTTTTTTAAAAAAGTAAAACCAATTGAGAAAAAAAAATTGCAAATATTTTTTATTGACAAAATTTTTTTGGTGGTGGGTGGGGAGGGGGGAGAATTAGAGACAGTGAGATAGAAAGAGAGAGAGATAAATATTTATATCGCTTCTTTTTGTTACTCGTTGACGCGGGAAAAGAGAGTACAATTAACTAACATTTTTTTTTATATATATTACAGCCTTTTGGTCGCGTGAAAAAACAATGTACATACACACATACGTATTTATTTATTTATTATTATTATTAATTACCCTTAGTTTATTTCACTTATTTTTTAAATATTACATTATTTATAATTAAAAAATTTACAAACAATCACGCGTCATCTCCCCTCGTTATTTTTTTAAAATTTTGTCAAGAAAAAAAAATAGTTCTCCGTTTTTTTTCTTTTAACCACGAGAGAAATATTACCAAAAAGTTGATGAACACGTTTGAAAAAAAAAAATTTTTTTTTCTTTTTTTTTGGGGAAGATTTACGTTTGAAAAGTATTGGAATATTTTTCTCCTGGTTAAATAGAATATTTCGTGGAGAACAGGTGGGGGGAAGGAGCGCATGCGCTGTAAATCTACGCAACGTGCGCGCGCACGAAAAATGTTTAAAGCGCACGCGCCATAGATCGTTGATAATGCGCGGGAAAATTTAAATTAGCATGGAAAAATTTATATTTCTCATTTAAATTGGCTTAACTAGAATCGCTTTCTTTATTTCGTTTTTTTTTTATTTATTCCGCCTCTCGTCGTCTTTTTTTTTAATGAAGTATCGAAAAATACATGTACAATATATTTATATATATTTATAATTTATATTTATACGTGTTCATTATTATTTATCATTAATTATTATTATTATTATTTGCAAATATAAATTATACAATTATTTGAGTTTTTGGAATTATTTGCACAAATTACAGCAGATTTTATTTATGTTTTTTGAAAGAGAGAAAAAAATTTTTTACAAAAGAAGCAGTTTTTTTTTTCTTTTTCAGCCAGTAATTATAGTGAGTGGGGGAAAAAATTCTTTTCATTTTGGAGCGACGACTCGAAAAGGGGTAAGTATTTTTCGAGAGGAAAAAATTTTTACACGAAAAAGGAGAAGAATTGATGGAAAGAAATTTTAGTTTTTTTTTTTTGGTTTTGAATGTAAAAAAATAAAGTGGATAAAAATTTTTTCCTCTTTTAATCGATTTTCAACAGTTTTCGAAGTAGAGAGCATTTTTTTTTATTTTGATAATTCGGATCGAAATTTAGATTTTCGATAGATTTTTTGAGACCGATTTTTATTCGAGTAATTTTTTTTCTTGTTTTTTTTTTAAAGGAGGAAGAAAAAGAGAATATTTTGAAATATTTCGATTTTAGTGAAATTTTATTTTTGTTTTAAATTTCTGTTAAGATTGTTTTCTCGAATCGTTCTTTTTCTTTCTTTCCTTTTTTTTACTTTTTTCGTTACTATTATTTTCTTTTTGCATTTTTTATCTTTTTGGTTTTTTTATTTTTATATTTTACTTGTTTTCTTTTTATTTTTTACTTTTCTATTTTTTTAATTTTTATTTTCACTTTTTATTTTTTACTTTTTATACTTTACTTTTTGTAATTTACTTTTTATATTTTTAACTTTATTATTTTTTACTTGTTTCTTTTTATTTTCACTTTAAATTTTTGACTTCTTTATTTCTTGCAATTTTTTCAAGTCTAGTTTTCCAGAGAAAAAGTGCGCAAGCGCCAAAAATCACAGAGCGTGCGCGTCAGAACAGTGAAAACTTATTGCGCCTGCGCGGTAGATCCTCGAGGCGCATGCGCGACATTTTTCTCAGAACTCCTGCGCGCTAGATCATAAAGGCGCGTACACACCGTTCTTTTTATTTTTTACTTTTCATGTTCAACTTCTTAATGTTTTTATTTTTTTCTTGTTTTTTTTACTTTTTTCTTTTTTTATTGTTTCTTTTTTACTTTTTATATTCTTTCTTCTTCTTTGTGACGCTAAAAAAACGATTCTCGAGAGAAATGTTTCTGCTATGGTCAATGAGAAATTCTGTGAATTTGTTGAAAAAAAATTCAGAGTTTTTTCCCCTACATTTGTTTCACTTTTTCATTCTTTCTTTCTCTCTCTCTCTCTCTCTTTCTCTCCATCATCTTCCACTTGGTTTTTTTTCTTTTAATTACTAATAATTATTTTTATTATTATGTTTTTTTTGTTTTATACAATTTTACAGAAATTCGGGCAATATTAAAATATACGAAATGGTAAATATTCATTAGCATTTGTTATTATTTTTTTCTCATATATATTATACAATTTACATATACGGTATAACATTCGTAAAGTTATATATACAAAAACTATATAAATATTTAAAAATATTAAAGATTTTTTTTTTCAATTTACTCTTTATAAAATTAGCAATAAATTGTATAGAATTTGTTTCTTTTTTTATTTCACCTTCTTTTATAAGCATTTCACAGTTTATAATTTTATAATAATAATTGAAAGTGTAGAATTTTTTTGTAAAAAATTCACCATTTATTAAAGCTTTTATTTGCGCAAACAATTGTAATTTTTTGTTTGTGTTATTTTTTTGTGTTCTTTATGTTTTTTATGCGTGCTAATAATTATAGTCATAATTAATTATAATTATAATAATATTAATTAATATAATAATTAATTATAATAATAAAATTATCTAATTAATATAATACTGAATTATAATCATAATTAATTATGCTAATTAATTACAGTCATAATTAATTATATTCCTTTCATTAAATCTGAAAAATATTTATAATTATAAATAATTATATAATCAATTCGGCATTTAATTATAATTACAAATTATAATTAATTAATTATTATTAATTCGTAATTAATTATAATTTTGTTTTTTAATTATAATTATCATTTTTTTCTGTCACTTGAACTCCATTTTCATAAAATCAAATTGCCAACAATTTGATTGGTCGGGAAAAAATATAATTTTTTTTTACTGAGACAGGTTTTTTTTAAATATTTTTTATTTTAATAACCTTTCTCTTTTTTTTAACATTTTCTTTTCCTCTCGCATAATTTTTTTTTCCTTCATTAAATTCTTTATACAATTAAAAATCATTTTATTCTCTGAATTTTTTTTTCAAATTTTCTCATTCACAGAATTTTGAGAGTATAATCACAGATCATTTCTCGGATATGTTAGAAAAACCTGTGTTTTCTTTTTTTTTAAATCGAAACATTTCAATAATAATAATTACATATATTTCTGTCATAAATTAATTTTTTTTCATTTTACGAATAAAAATCGGTCAATTTATTACAATTTTTTTTTCTGATTTTAATAAAAAATATTTTCAAATCTATTTAAAAAAAAGAAAATTGATTTAAATTTGAAAATCGCCCTTCGAATTGACGATTTACAAATTTATTATTTATTTATTTACTTATTTAATTTTTTTTTCTTTATTCGACACATAAAATGAATCGCGCCCGTGGAGAGAATTGAAAATGCAAAAAACTATGTAGAAAAAGTATGTGAATATTGATCTTTTCGACAGGCATTCTAAGATTCTTCGAAAAAGCGGATTTCGACACCGATAGTGAATTATTTTTTTTTGTACGAGTAATTTACAATGATTTTTTTTTCTTCATGTCGCTTGAGCTTTCTATAGCTTAAAGTAATGAACATTTCTTTTTTTTTTGTTTTGTCGTTTTTTTTAAATGCATTACACATCTCCCCCTTCTTTCATATGCCTTTCCTTTCTACGACCCACGACTAATCCATTTTCGTATATATTTTTTATTCTTAATCAAAATCCATATTGCCTCCTCTTCCTCTTTTCAAAAAATTATTAAAAAAAAAAATTTTTCGCAAAAAATAAATTTTTAAAACTATGAGTTGGGGATATCACACATTTAAAATTTTAACAATAGGAAATAAAAAAATAAATAAAAGTTAAAAAAATATTTTGTTGGTATCACGCATTTTAATAACAAAACGAAATTCTTGACGGAATTTCGTGTAATAAAGTATATTTTATTTTTTTTTATAATCTTTCGCCAACAATACTATTTATTTTATTACAGTAACAATAAAATAACAGCAATCAGATAAATTATTTGAATTTAAAGAAAAGAAAATCGTTTTTTCAACAAATTTGAAAATTAAATAAATATTTTTAACATTTATATATTCATTTTTCAGTAACATTCATTAATAACATTTTTTCCCCAAGCCTTCAATATTATTAACCGACCGTGAGATAATTTAACCCGCAAAAAAAAATAATCAGCGACTTTTTTTCACTTATCACATTCTTTCACAAACTTTATTAATTAGACACAAAAAGCCAAAGGTAAACACTTTTTAAAAAAATTTTTTTATTTACCCTATTAAAAAGTATTTAAAAAAAATAAAGCATTCATTCTCGAATAAATTAATTTCTCACGGTAAAAATCGTTAATACACGATTTTTTCAAAATTACAATTAAGTTCATTTTATAAATAGACAATATAATAGGATTTATGGGATCGCGTTATTTTTTTTATTTTATAAAGTTTTATTTTTATCGTTAGTCATTTATTTATTTAAATATTAACCTCGTTTACTCATCGTCATTTATTGTTTTCATTTATTAACCGACATTACTCTCAGTGGTTTCAGTTATTTTTTTTCCCCACTTCTTTTTATATTTTTAAAACGCGCGTAAGGATTTACAATGGACATTACCTACTTAAAAAGGCGGTGCTTAAAAAATGGGACGGCAGGCAAGCGGAATCGGGTGAGACACTCGCTGAAAGAGTCCTTGACTCATTACGAAATTCAATTCACTCTCATTTACAGATTCAATGAGATTTTTGTAGAATTAATGCGCATTTCAATGATTTGATAGAATTATTATAAGTATATTTGACGAATAGTGATCCAATTGGCGTGTTTTAGAACGCAGATAACTACGACGCATGTTTTTTGACTCACGGGGAACTACTGCGCATGTATTTGACACACAGAGATCTACTGCGCATGTTTTTGACACACAGAGATCTACTGTGCATGTTTTTGACCCACAGAGATCTACTGCGCATGTTTTTGACACGCAGAGATCTACTGCGCATGTATATGACCCATAGAGATCTACGGCGCATATATTTGACCTTGAGAGGTCTTCTGCGCATGTATATGATCCATAGAGATCTACGGCGCATATATTTGACCTTGAGAGATCTTCTGCGCATGTATATGACCCATAGAGATCTACGGCGCATTTATTTCATCCACAGAGATCTATTGTGCATTGTATGTCACTCACAAAGATCTAATGCGTATGGCTTACACTCACAGAGATCTACTGCGCATTCTTTAAAACTACAATCATCTAGTGCGTATATCCTTGACCTATAGAGCCCAACTACGACTGTTATATCTTTAAAGAATTATATTTCTCACGTTATTTTCTCACAAAGACCTTCTACGCATGTATTTTTCAAATAGAGATCTACTGCGCATGTATTTGTCCCATAGAGATCTACTGCGCATGTAATTAACCCTTAATGATCTACTGTGCATTTATTTGCCTCACAGAGATCTATTGTACGTGTTTTAAATTCACAGAAGTCTACTGCGCATATTTCACACCCACAAAGATCTACTTTGGACCTTTGGAGATCTACTACGCATGTGTGTAACACACGAGGATCTACAGCGCATATATTGAGTCTACACATGCGCAGTAGTTCCCTTTCGATCGTATATATGTTAGAAGCGAACGCCTATGCTAAATTTAACCCTAAAGCATATTTGCGCATCTCATTATAAAGATCTACTGCGCATAAACTACACATGCGCAGTAGATCTTTTCAATAAGATGCGCAAACATACTTTTGGATCCAATACATGTTTGCAACGCATATATTCAACGCATAGAGATCTACTGCGCATCTATATTACTCAAAAAGATCTACTGCGCATTTGTCGAGTATTATACATGCGCAGTAGATCCCTATGTATCAAATACATGCGCAGTAACATTCCACGTGTAAATAAGACCCTAAAAATATCAATTTCACCTAGAATTGAATTTCGTAAATTGATTAGGATCACGGAAGGACATTTTTGTTTTTTCTTGTTATAAAAGTTGTGTTTTCGCCCCTTCTATGACAAATCAAGAAACAAGTTCGATACGACTTTTTTTATTTATATTATTATATTATAATTATTATTAGTATTATTATTATATAAGCGTGTTGAACGATAATACGTCGTTGCGGCTCCATTATTCGCGGACAAAAATTTCCATTAAAATTTTTTTTTCACTTTCTTGCTCTTTTTTGACAATAAAAGCTAGATTTATTTTTTTTCTTTTATCTGCCTCGTGACAAGCGCGCAGGTACCACGTTTACTCTTTCGGATAAAACAGGCACACACGTTGAATTTTTTTTTTTCATTTATTTATTTATGTATTTCGACGCTAATAAATCACAAGAATAAGAAGAGTGCGATTTTATAGAAAGCTAATTTATGCAAATCGAATATTTTTTAATTTATGCTTTATTTTTTTTCTTCTTCTTCTTCTTCTTATCTCTTCGTTTTTTTTCTTTTAAACAAAATTGTTTTTTGCACGATTCTATTAAAAAATGCTGCACCAAATTTGAGGTATATGTAATTCGATTGTACCGACAAATTTTTTTTTCCGTTTATCAGGTCACACAAAGTTTTTTTCTCATTTTTCATTCTTTCATTTCTTAAAAAATAGAAGAAAGAAATTATTTTTACTTTGTAAATAATGAAAAAAAAATGAATAAAGTCTAATAAGAGGATTTGAAAAAATTTGCCAGAATGTCATTAAATTGTTCATTCAATCAATGACTATTCGTTAAAAATTAAAAACAAAATATCCAGTTCTCGAAATGACAATTATCGCAACAAAAAAAAATTGAAAAAATACCAATGTCGTATTTTGCTTTTGTTTATAGGGGAAGATTGGTATACGTCATATTTTTTGCGACAATTGTCAATTTCTAATTTTAAAATTTGTAATTGTTCACAGAAAAAATATTTTTTTTTCATATTACAAAATAGAATTAATTTAGAGTGTAAAAAATAAATTGTGACTATAATTACGATTCACAATTTTTTTTAGGGGAAGTTCAACCGTTTTTTTACACTCTTGATGCAAAGTAATAAAACGCACTTTTGACGATATTTTTTTCAGTTGCGCACAACTATTAACGATTAGAGATCTACTGCGCATAAAAATTATCAATACTGATCTATTGCGCATGCGCTTTTCTCAATACTGAACTTGCGACAATTACAATTGTGAAATAGCTGATCCAGCGCGCATGTATTAATTGTCAGTTAAATGATCTATTGCGCATATGCCAATATTAATTAATACTGATCTACTGCGCATACGTACTGCTAATCTTGATCCAAAGCGCTTGTAAAATATCAATACCAATATTGATCTATGACGCATGCGCAGAACTAATATTGATCTACGACTCATGCGCATTACCAATATTAATCTATGACGCATTCGCATTACCAATAGTGATCTATGACGCATGCGCATTTCCAATATTGATCTATGACGCGTGCGCATAACCAACAATGATCTATGACGCATACGCATAACAAACATTGATCTATGACGCATGCACATTACCAATATTGATCTATAACGCATGCGCATTGCCAATATCGATCTACAACGCATGCGTATTACCAGCACTGATCTACAGCGCATGCGCATTAATTTTTTGTTTAAAAAAACGAAAAGAAACTGCAAGAGAGGAAGTTTCAAACAGTTTTTCGTTTCTTCAATCAACTTATAATTGAAAAAAATATATCGTTAAATTACCTAAGCTTGGCAGATTTCATAATTTGTTTTTGAGGGGGAAGCACATGAAATCCTTAGGTTAGGTATTCACACTGGACATGAAAGGAAAAAAATAAAAAGAATTTTTTCAAACCTCAATTCGACAGATATGTAATTTTTTGCGAGGGTTTATTTTGGGGAAGAGGAGGCTGCTGGATACTTTGATTAAGATTTTGTTTATTTTTTTTTTGTATAATTCGGTCGGATGTTAGTAAAAAACCGTACACGCGTTTATTTCCGACGAATCGCCTGAGTTTTTATTTATTTTTTTTCAAAGTTGTGTGTATGTTTTGTTGTGCATCCTCGGACACGGTCGACTCCGATCGACACACTCGTGCAGTCGATAAAAAAGGCAACTCGTTGGAGGAATTTTATTATTTTTTTTGTATTATACAACTATAAGGCTGTTAAGTAGTTCATAACGCACGTGCGATTGATTTCAATTTTTTTTTGTTTTTTTTAAATTATTTTTTATTTAGATTCATCACCTCGGATTTATTTTTTTTTTGGTAATAATTTAATTTAATTTAATGAGGATAGCGTAACGAGGATCAGACATCGGCAGTGCGTGATGTGACGCTCGGTGAACGACTATGAATAACGACACGATGACCATTTTTCGTGACGAAACCATCACTTTCGACAAGCACTGCCGTTTGTCTGACGCGCGGATCCATATCGGGATCATCGCTTTCCTCACTGGGACCGCCGAGACGTTGTTGTTTATGCTTCCTCCATGCATTTTGTATAAGACGCGCGCAATATTCTTCACGTTGTCGCCATAATGTTGATGATACTGGTTCATAGCCAACTTCATCGGGTCTTGTTTGCACTTCGCCCAATTCGGCAGTCTCCTCAATTGGATTGCCCTTTCTTGCGAAAAAGTCTTTTGTGAGAGCATCGAGGATATCAACGCAAAACATAAGGTCACCCTTACATATTGGGATATCCATCGATACAATCTTATATTTATTGGGCTTGTGTATTTGTAATGGCGGTTCAAGGACGTCCAAGAATTCTGATAATTGATCGTAACGAATATATTGCGTACCATCGGGATCAAATTGCTGCCATATCTCATAATACATATCGTAATCATCGTCGGTAAGACCTTCTTGAACGTCCTCGGTTGCTTGAGAATAATTCTCTAAAATAACCGCAATGTACATATTGATGACAATTAGAAAACTAATCACCAAATAGGAGAGTAAATAGGCAATTCCAATTGTTGATGAACCACAATTTCCCGGATAGCCAATTTCATTGTTTGGCTCCTGACAGTCCTCTTCGTTGATAATGCCGTCCAATACGTCGTTCCAGCCAGCTGATGTTGACATCTGCCGGGCCAAAATTATGTTAAAGTGAGTGAAAGTGAGAGTGCGAAGCAACATCAAGGTTAAAGTTAACAACAGTGATGGTATTAAATTAAAAAATATCAAATGTGCACGCATTACAACTGTGGAAAACAATTGCGCATGTTTTAGACTCTTAGAGATCTACTGCGCATGTGTTTGACACATAGAGATCACGTGCGCATGTTTTTGACCCATAGAGATCTACTGCGCATGTGTTTGACACACAGAGATCTACTGCGCATATGTTTAACCCACAGAGATCTACTGCTCATATATTTGACTCAATGAGATCTACTGCGCATCCATGTGACCAAAATGATCTACTACGCATATTTTTGGCACACCAAGATCTATACTTACCAAGCACCTATAGGTTATAAGAACAACTGCGCATGTTTTTGATTCGTAGAGATCTACTGCTCATGTGTTTGTTTATAAGTTAGTATAATAAATTTACCATTCAAAATTATAATTTTTACTTTAATTTTTCTGGAACAAATGATCTACAGTGCATAGAAGTATTCACATAAACCACTTGCACATATATACAATCAAAAATGATATACTGAACATGTATTGAATCCAGGGAGATCTATTGCACATGTATTTGACTCACGCAGATCTACTGCGCATATATTAAATCCAAAGAGATTTATTGCGCATTAAGTACTACAAATGCGCAATAGATCCATATAAATATATTCTCAGTAGCTCCTTATGTGAAAACGAGTCTTTTTATTGTCAATTGAGGACAGAATTAATTTTCAAAATTTAATATAAAGTACATTGAGATCTATTGCGCATATATTTGACTTACAAGGATCTACTGCACATATTTAGAATTTTGTTCATGCGCAATAGATCGCTATGGGTCAAAATACTTGCTCCGTATATCCCTATGTGTCCAACTACATGCGCAGTAGATCCCTATTGGTTCAAATACATGCGCACTGGATCCCTATAAGTCCAAATACATGCGCAGTAGATCATTATAGGTCAAATACATGCACAGTAGTTTTCTGTGTTTTAACAAGTCTTTTTAGTGTTAATTATAGCCAGAATTATATTTTTTAAAAGTAAAAGTTAGTATTGAAATCAATGTGAAAGTAAGTAAAGATAAAAGTGATTAATAATTAATTTGTGTTGCTATAAAAGGGATCTGCGCATGTTTATGACTGAAAGTGATCTTTGCGCCTGTATTAAACCAAGATATCTACTGCGCATATATATGACTCACCGTGATCTACTGCGCACATACCTGCGCAGTAGATCCCTATGGGTCAAATACATGCGCAGTAGCATTCTCTACATCAACAAATCCCTTTTAGTGTCAGTTTTATCAAAAAATGAACTTTTCAATACTGAATATAAAAATGCCAATGAAAAAAAATTCAAAGTGAAGTCATAGTGATATTAAAATAAAAATAATAGTTTCTTTCAAAAAAAAAAATACTCACTTGAAACAGCAATATCATCGACTGTCCGAATGTCTTGAAATTGTAGACGTCATCGAGACCACTCTTGTCCTTGACGTGCATGAAAAATGACATTCCAAATATCGCAAAGATGAACATCACCAAAAATAGTAAGAGGCAAATGTTGAATAGCGCTGGCAATGACATGGCCAATGCAAAAAGTAGAGTACGAATTCCCTTGGCTCCTTTAACGAGACGTAAAACACGACCCACTTTAGCTACCCTCACCACACGAAGTAATGTGGGAGATACAAAATATTTTTCAATAATATCGCTCAGGACCAACCCTAAGAGAAAAATTGATGAGAACATTTATTAGTATTCTTGATAAAAAGATTATAGTTTAAATCACATGCAGTATTAGATAGGAATTTATTTATTTGTTTTTTTTTTTAAGAAAAAGAGAGAAAAGGATATTTTAAGGCATGCTATTATTAAGGACATGCAAATTTTTTTTTACAATGTTTACGTGCTCTAGGAATTTTTTTAAGTTTTGTAGGATTGTATTTTTTTATTATCTTAAAAGTGGTGTTCAGGGTTTGTTTTCCGTGTGAGATGAAAAAAATTTTTATTAAAATGGATACTTTGAACTAGTGATGTTTCAGCGACAAACGGAGATTTAACTTTGCTTTAAATTACTTTAACGTTACTTTAACGTTGTTTAACTTTATTAAGCGTTTATTTACTAACGATTTAGAGTACTATTAACGCTTCTTTAATTTATTTAGTGACAATTTAACGTTTCTTTAAAATTGTCTTAACATTTTTTAACGTTACTTTAACATTGCTTTAACGTTACTTTAACTTTACTTTAACGTTACTAAAACATTACTTCAGCGTTACTTTAACGTTACTTTAACGTTACTTTAACGTTACTTTAACGTTATATTAACGCTACTTCAACGTTATTTTAACGTTACTTTAAAATTCCTTTAAAAATACTTTCACTTTCTTTTAAATTACTTTCACGTCGATTATGTTTTTTAAATTTTTGTTTAATTTTTTAGCGTTACTTTAACCTTCTTTGAGTTTATGTCATTTTTTAGCGTTAATTAAACTGTTTTTAAACGTTTTTCGGAACGTTTCAGATTTAATATTATTTTAAAGTTATTAAATTAATAATTAATGATTTATTAAATTTATGGTCACTTAAACGTTTCTTTAACCCTGATTTTTTGTTAATTTAGTGTTAATTTAACGATACTTCAGTAATATTTTAACGTTACTTTTTATAATACTGTAACGTTATATTTATAATTATTTAATGTTACATTAACATCAATATAACGTTGTTTTACGATTCTTTAGCGTTAATGTTTTAACGTTCAAAAATGTCACTGATTTTCAACTATTTTTTTTAAACGTTCTACATCGATGTGTCGTCGTTTTAACGGTAAATTCACCCCATATTTTTTTTGCTTTGATTTAAAGTTGATTCAATAATTTATTAACGTTGTGTTAAAGTAGCTGTAACGTTACTTTAATAATAGTTTAACGTTCCTTTAACTTTCTTTAGCGTTAATTAAAAACCGTTTTAAAATTCCTTTAGCGTTACTTTAACGATACTTTAAAAATTCTTTAACGGTACTTTAACATTAATTTAACACTAATTTAAGTTTTCCCAGCGTTTATTTGATACTGATTTGTTGTAACTTTAATGTTACCGCTACTTTTACATTACTATAATTTTACTTTGAACAATTTATAGTTACTTTAACCTTGAATAAACGAATTTTATCGATAATTGACGTTATTTTAACACTGCTTTAAAGTTGCTTTAACCATTTTTTGCATTTAACGTTGACTTAACCGTTCGTTAGCCTTGTTATAGTGTCACTTTAACGTTACTTTGAAGACTTTCAGTGATACTTTAATTTTTAATTGACGGTACATCAAAAATTAACTTAACGTTATTTTTACCTTACTTTAACATTATTTTACCTTTACTCTATTATTATTTTAACGTTACGTAATCATTAATTTAACGTCATGTAACACTATTTTGACGTTAGTTTAACGTTATTTGACACTATTTTGTCGTTAATTTAATGCTATTTAACACTACTTTGACTTTAATTTAATGTTATTTAACACTATTTTGACGTTACTTTAACGTTATTTAACATTTTTTAACGTTACTTTAACGTTATTTGACACTATTTTGATGTTACTTTAAAGTCAGTTTAACGTTACTTTAACACTATTTTGCTGTTACTTTAACGTTATTTAACACTACTTTGATGTTACTTTATAGTTACTTTAACGTTCCTTTATCGTTATTCAATACTATTTTAACGTTACTTTAACGTTATTTAACACTATTTTGACGTTACTTTAGCGCCAGTTTAACGTTACTTTAACACTATTTTGATGTTACTTTATAGTTACTTTATCGTTATTTAACACTATTTTAACGTTATTTAACACTATTTTGATTTTACTTTAACATCAGTTTAACGTTACTTTAACACTAATTTAATGCTTCTTTTATCTTTTTTAGTATTTATTCAACGTTTCTTGCGATTATTTTTAATGTTACTTTAAAGTTAAAAATACATTAACTTTAATTTTTTAGCGTTACTTTAACACTATTTTGTTCCCTTCTACCCCCATTTGTCACCGAATATCACGTTTACATTTTCTGCTTCTACTTTATAAGAGAAAATTTTCGATTACCATTCCGTATATATATGAAGCAAAAGTGTCGCAAAATAATTTTTTTTTTTTAATTAAAAAAAGAAAAGTAATAATTCTATACTATTCGACTAATTCAAATGTCTCAGATAATGTCACTAATGCCTCTAAACATTCTGAGATATCTCTATTAGCCAAACAAGTGTATCTCTTTTTGCTCTCTAAATAAAAAAAATAAAAAAATATTTTTTCTTCTAAACATATTAATAAAATTAATTGCATAATCAAAATTGATTTAAGATAGATAGAATAAAAATAAGAAATTCTTTCTGATCTAAAATTTGTTAATTATAAAGTGCTTCGTTAAATTGAAAACAAACCTCTCTGAAAAATCTTACCGATCGTACCATTTTTTTTTTTTATTTTGTCAAAAATTCTCAATTTCGTGGCTTTTATTTTTTTTTAATTGCCACAAAATCGTGAAATGTTGACAAAATTTATTTTTTTTTTTTGGAAAGGAAAGGAATAAATGGAAAATTTTTTTAAGACATTTAAAAATCACATCAATGTAAGGCTACATAACGTAATGTTTAGAGACCAGCTGTTGCAACTCGTATGAAATTTCGTACCTGTTTGCTTTTTTTTCTATTTTATTTTTTTAACTAATGATACTAAACGTGCAGATGTAAAGAAATTTTCGTAACTATTAGAATTGTGTGTGGAAAGATTACGTAAACAAATAAAGTTTTTGCTAAGAGAATGAAAAGAAAAATCTATTGAAGCTAAACAGGTATTTAATTGTGAAATTTTTTTTTTTCTATTTTTCTTTCATTCGAATTATACAGCTGGTGTGTTCATTACGCTACATTACCTAATATTGATAATATAACAACAACAAAATCAAAGAGGTTCCACGGCTCCTTGAAGTAATGATAGCGCAATGCAAATATCTTCATGAGACACTCGCTGGTGAATATCACAATGAATATCATATTAAGATAGTCCAACACACTGCTGAACGTCTCCGTTTGTTTATAATGGTCCATTGTCATGGTCAACATATTAAATCCGATGAACAACATAATTATCATATCGAACTTCTTATCTGTCACAATTTCAAACACTATTGCCTGTGGCCTCCACTGGAAATAAAAAAGAAAAATATTTTTTAAATATTTTCATTAAAAAAAAAAAAAAAAAAAAAAAAAACATGACTCACAAGCCTTTTTACTCAATAATAAATAATATATAATGTTATTATATCATCGTAACAAGCAATTATTAATAAAAAAAATTGTAACAATAACAAATGATAACAAATAATAATAAATAATAACAGAATTGTAATAACAAGTTAATAGTAAATTATAACAACTTTAGCAATGGTAATAACTATAAATAATTAACAAATAACATAACAAATTAACATAACAAATTATAATTATAAATAACGAAAATGGTAATAACAAATTATAAAATTAATTCAAAAAAATGTAATAAAAATAACACATGTGAATATAATTTTTTGGATAGTTCGACGTAACAATAATAAATAATAATAAAAAAATAAATGGTAAAAAAAACTTACCCTAGGACGTGGTATGGCCTTTAGGGGTTTTTTACTACCCATTTTTTTCATTGCGTTGTAGTACTTTTTCTGATCCTCAGTCATGAACATTTCGAGTGAACCGCCGGCCTTTTTCTTTTGCTCGTTAAAATTGTCGATGATAACTCCGATAAAGAGATTAAGTGTAAAAAACGATCCAAAGATGATGAAAAATACAAAGTAGAGGTACATGTAGATGTTTGTCTCGCGAATTGGTTGTTTGCCAACCTGTATGATTAGAATCATTTTCTTTTATTGCTTTCTGGCTATTTTGGATTTTTTCTGCGTTAGTTTAGGACAATAATTTTCAACTAGTTTGCGCACAGTTATTTTTAATGAATAATTATAAAATTCTCGACCGTTTTGATATTGTTAATGAATTAATAGATTTATTAATTGTTTTTAACTGTAGACAAAATTTTGGCCTGCAATTCTTATAGTATTATTTGTAAAGGGCTTTTTTTTTTTTTTTTTTTTTTTTTTTAAGGATAAATGAAAATTTACCTGGATTGTATAATTTTGATGAGAAATAAATTCGATAAGACCTAATTACAGACTTCGCATTCGATAATTAATTTTAAAAAAGTATCAAAAAAAATTAAATTTATAAAAATAATTTAATTCTTGCGGAGAATTTTATACAAAATTTTAAATAATTCATTTTTTTCGACTAATTTTATGGAAATTCTAATTTAATTAATTGAATTCCTGAGAAATTTTTATTATTAATGAAAAAAATTGAATTCTTACGAAGATTTTAACGAAAATTTTTTAAATAATTGAATTCTGTTTGGAAATTTTATAAAAATAGTAGATATTGAAAATTATTGAATTGCAAAAAGTTTTTAAAAATAATTAAATTTTACAAAGAAATCTTTAAAAATTTTTAAGAATAATTAAATGTCTGTGTAGCATTTTTATTATTTTCTTGAAAATAATTGAATTTCTAAAAAGCATTTTATTATTTATGGAAATAACTGAATTTTTGCGAACGATTCTATTAGAATTTTTTAAAATAAATGAATTCTTAGGAAAAAATGTATTTCTTTCAAAAATAATTGAATTCTTATGATGAATATTGTTATTTAAAAAAATAATTGAATTTTGCAAAGAATTTTATTAAAATCCGTGAAAATAATTGAATTTTCGGATATAATTTTGTTATTTATCTTTAATAATTGAATTCTTTCAAAGAATTATTTATGTAAATAATCGAATTATTAAAATCTAAGGAATAATAGAATTATTTCAAAAATAATTTAATTAAATTTGTATTTAAAATAATTGATTTCTTTCGAACAATTTTATTAAAGTACTTAAAAATAATTGAATTTCTGGGAAAAATTGTAATATTGTTGTAAGTAATTGAATTCTTCCAATGAATTTTAAAAAAACATTTTTTTAAATAATTGTTGTTTTCGAGGAATTGAAATTAAATTTTTAAGAATAAATACATTTTTTGAGCAATTCCTATAAAATTGTATTAAAAATAATTCAAATCCTGTGATGAATTTTATTATTTATGAAAATAATTGAATAGTTGCAATTGAAATTTTAACATGAATTTTATTAAAATTCTTGAAAATAATTGAAATTTTACCAAGAATGTTATTAAAACTTTTGAAAATAATTAAATTTCGGAAAAGAATTTTATTATATATAAAAATAATTGAAATTTTGTCAAGAATTTTATTATAACTTTTGAAAATAATTGAATTTCTAAAAAGAGTTTTATTATTTATAAAGATAATTAACATTTTGAATGAAATTTTGAAAATTTTATTAACATAATTGAATTTTTGCGAGGAATTTTATTAAAATTATTGAAAATAATTTAAATTTAAAAAGAATTTTATTAAAAACTTTTTAGAAAAATTGAATTGTTCAGAAAAACTGTATTACAACTTTTAAAAATTCACTCTATAATGCTTTTAATATTCAATGATTATCTAAAATTTAAACTAAAATTTATTTTTAAGTCAATTTTTATTAAAAAATTTTACGAGAATTAAATTATTATTTAAATACAAAAATAAGTAATGTATTGAATAATTGAATATTTCTTAAAATTTAATTGTTATAATTAATTTTCTCATGTAATTTTTAAATAATTGAATTATTTTGACGAATTTTAATCAAATTTTTAAGAATAATTACATTTTTCGAGGAATTCGATTAAAATTTTATTAAAAATAGGCATAATTGACATTCTGTGATGAGTTTTGTTATTTATGAAAGTAATTGAATTCATAAAAAAAATTGTATTATTTATGAAAATAATTGAATTCTTAAAAAAAATGTATTATGTACGAAAATAATTGAATTGTTGTAAAAAATTTTATTGTTTATGCAAATAATTGAATTATTGCAAAGAAAATGAAAAATTTGTTAATTGAATTTCTGGGAAATTTTTATTATTTTTGAAAAATTTTATGAAATTAGTAGATATTGAAAATCAGTGAATTAAGGAAATTTTTTGAAAATAATTGAAATTTTGTCAAGAATTTTATTGAAATTTTTGAAAATAATTGAATTTCAGAGAAAAATTTTATTATTTATAAAGATAATTAAAATTTTGACAAGAATTCTTTTAAATTTTTGGATATAAAAATTGAATTTTTTCGAAGAATTTTATTAATTTTTTGAAAATAATTGAATTTCTGCAATCAGTTCCAACTCCTTCAAAATTCAATTTTTTTTTTACTATTTTTAACCAAAATTCTTCCATTATTTTTGATAATTAATTAAAAATATATTAAAAAGTTTAAAAACTAATTTCAGAAGAATTTGAATTATTAAAATTTTTCAAAAATCTGAGTTCTTTTTTCTAATTAAATATATTAAACATTGAAATTTTATAAAATTTCAAATTAAAACTTTTCGGAAAGTTCATCTATTTATGAAAAATGAAATCAGGCAACTCTTTTAAAATTCAATTAATTTTAAAATATTTAAGTAAAATTATTCATTAAATAGTTTCTAAATAATAATTTGATGATAGTTCTTCAAGAATTAAGTTATTTGAAAAGAAATTATTGTCAGAAATAGAAAACTTTTTTTAAGAATTTATTTCCTATTCAGAAAAAATTTGTGTCTTGAAAAACGACGCCGGTTCTTTATAATTTTTATTAACAATTTTTGGAGTCGATTATCAAATTTAGGCTTTTTTCATCGAATTGAAAATTTTTTTTATTAAAGACAAGCACTTTTCTTTCTAAAGAAAATTTTTTTATGCTTTTTACCTGCCGTTGACCGAATTTACTTCGCATCAAAATATTTTGTTTTCATGTATTTGCTACTTTTCTCCTTTCCTTTTTTGCAATCTGCTACTTCGGTTTTTCTATTTTCTTTTAATATTTCTAATTTTTTTTTTTTTTTTTTTTTTTTTTTTTTTTCTTTCACTTTTCTACAGTCCTTGATATTTTGGTTTATTTAATTTTTTTGCGATGTAAATAAAAATGAAAGATACATACCTCCCTTGAGTCAATTGCGTCGTTCATGATTTGTATCCATCCTTTAAAGGTCGCTACTTGAAAGAGGCACAGGTATGCTTTGCCAACGTGATCGAAATTCATGGGCGAATTGTCCCAGGTGTAATTTTCGGCAATGCAGGCATTTTTATCGGGAATGATCTCGTGACTTAGCGTTGTCTTGTTTGCATCGACACACTGCAAAAAGAAAATATTTTTCTATTTAATTTTCTGCTGTAATTTTTTTTTTTTTTTTTTTTTTTTTTTTTTTTTTTACAACAATAGTAGAAATAATTAGCTCAGTCTTAGGGACTGATGCTCAAGTCAGATTTTTAATCGATAATAATGTTAATTTTATAATAATTTAATGAACAATTAACAAACCCTAAAAAAAAAAATTTAAACACCCCTAATAATATTTAAAATTTTAAAGTGCAACAAAATTTTGATATTTACCTTGAAATATTTTCCGGCAAACAGTTGGACTCCCATTATGGCAAAGATTAGCCAAAAAATAAGGCAGACGAGCAGTACATTGAAGATAGATGGAATAGCTTGGACCAAAGCGTTCACGACAACCTGTTTCAATAAAACAAACAATTAGCATTAATTTCTAAATTAAAAACAACTAATTTTTCTCTAGCTCATGAATAATTAAATTTAATTAATTAATTAATTTAATAATTAAATAATTAAATTATTAAATTATTAAATAATAAAATAAGATAATTCTTCTTTAACATTCGTTTACCAAATAATTACCAAAATTTAAAACACTACTTTTATATTCCCTTTAAAAACAAATTTATCATAAATATTTAAAATAATCCCTTTAAAGAAATTATAGAAGAATTTATATCTATTCAAAAAGCAACAGACTATTTGCTTACTAAATTTTTCTTGTTTCGTGTAACTGTTGTTTTTTCTCCAAAAAAAGCAGTTTTTATAATTAAAAGCTAATTATGAAAATCAGATATTTACAAAAAAAAAAGAAATTATTGCAATAGACGTTTTTTTACGACATTGATCATACGAACAATGAAACTAGCACGATACATGAAAAGCAGAACATTTTACATCATGCACAAAAGGCGTTAAAAAAGGAAAAAAAAATTCTACTCTTTCGAAGACTTACAGAATGTCATGTTGAATTCACTGAATCATGCAATAGTATCATGAAAATTATTTTTTATCTAAAAAGTATAGTAAAGGTTTACAAGTAAAGGTTAAAGTGTCAGGGTATGGGCATGATTAGAATTTCTACCACCCAATGTCTCAGCGACCTTCAAAAAAAGTACTAAAAAGAAAAATTTTTTCCGAAATATTCGAATCAAAAAGGAAACAAATATTCATTGTTTTTTATCCACTGTATTATTGTGGATAATTAACATTTTACATTTCCATTTTTCACACGGGAAATTAAAAAATTGTTTCCTCAGAATTGGGAATTTAATTACGAGAAGAGCGCGCTCCAATCAGGATCCACCTTTCCCCTCCACTTGTCGCACTGGCCCAACTACCGAGAAGCACAATTCTCGGTAAGTGCGCGCGCAACGCATACGGAAAGAGCGCGCTCCAATCACGGAGCACCTTCCCCCACCACTTTTTTTCCTCCTCTTCGGTATTTCGATGCTGTCACATTTCACAGATTTATTATTAGTTTTTTTTTATTGTTAGTTGGCTAAGCCTGAAGTAATTAAAAAATAAAATTAATAGTTTCATTTAAAAAGAATAATTTTTTCGCGTCACCACTTAAGTTTTTAAATAGAAAAGTAACCCCCAATAATGGATCGTAAGCTGTGCATTCAATTGGCAGCCTATGCATAACACGTGCAGTGTTTTTTTCTCGATTTTCTCAAAACAGAAATACTAATTAAAAAAATGAATTAAAACTTTTAATAATTATTAAAAGAAGAATTAATATTTTTAATTATTAAATAAATAAACAATTCTAAAAAATTTTACTAAAATTCGTCAAAAGAATTCAATTATTTAGTTTTGTATTTAAATAATTGAATTCTCGTAGAATTTTCTAATAAAAATTGATTTCAAAATAAATTTTAGTTAAAACTTCAAATAATAATTGAATATTAAAAGTATGAATTTTTAGAAATAATTGAATTTTAAAAAGGTTTGAGATTAAAATCTTTGAAAATCTGATGTTTTAATAATTTTTAATTAAAAATTCTGTAGAACTAATTTTTCTGAAAAATTTGAATTATAATTATTTTTAAATTAATTGAATTTTTTTAATATATATATTTAATTATTATAATTATTTAATCATTAAAAATAATTGAATTTTGAAGGAATTTAGTTAGAAATTTTAAACAACTTAGTTTTTTGAAAAATTTTGATAATTCAAATTCTTTTGAAATTATTTAAATTTTTTAATATAAATTTAATTAATTTTTAAAAATAATGAATTTATATAGAAGAATTTTAGTTAAAAACATTTTAAAAAATTGAATTTTGAAGAACTTGGAAATGGTTGTTGAAATTCTATTATTTTCCAAATTAATCAAATTCTTGGTAAAATTTCAATTATTTTCAAAAATAAACAATAAAAATTTGACAGGATTTTAATTATTTATAAATTTTTTTTATAAATTTGTTCGCAATAATTCAATTATTTTCATAAATAATAAAAATTTTTTTAAGAGTTTCATTTATTTTCATAATAATATTGAATTCCTCGAAAAATATAATTGTTCTTAAAAACTTTATTAAAATTCGTCAGAGGAATTCAATTATTTAAAAATTTTGTTAATATATTTCTTTAAGAGAATTCAATTTTAAGAACAATTCAGTAATTATTTTAATAAAATTCTTGGACAAATTTTAATTATTTTCAAAAAATTTACAAAAATTTAATAATTTTTAATATGTACTATGTTAATAAAATTTTCTTAAAGAATTCAATTATTTCAATAAAAATTTCTAGAAAATTCTACGTAAACATTTAATTATTTCTATAACTAATTGAAAATTTCATAGCAATTCAATTATTTAGAAATTTTTTATAAATTTCTTTTCAAGAATTCAATTATTTTTATAGATAATAAAATTTTATACAGGAATTCAATTATTTTCATAAATGATAACATTCTATTTATAAATTAAATTATTTTCGTAAATAACAAAATTCTATTCATAAATTAAATTATTTTCATAAATATGAATAAAAAAAACTCATTGCAGAGTTTCAATTATTTTAAATTCAATTCAATTTCTAATAAAAATTGATTTTTAATTTTTCGTTCGCGAAAGTCCGTATTTTTAAATATATTTTCACTGGTTCGAGTCCTGGAATTATAATATCTTTAATAATTGAAAAAAAAGAATTAATACTTTTAATAATTAAAAAAATATTCTAATTGAATAATTAAAAAAAAATATTCTAATTCAATAATTAATAGAAAAATATTTATTAAACAATAATTAGCTTTACTATTGTAATCCAAAGAAAGCCATTATCTAAACATCGTGAACACTAATTGTGTCTAAAAAGGAATTTGTTGAAAATATACATTTTGAGAATGTCATAATATGTAGCCGTGTTTTTAATTTTTCAACTACAAAATCTAAAGAATAGCAATCACTACAAAACGATAATGGCGTCGAGTGAATAAAAAAAAAATATGGCGATATTGGAATACTATATAAATATATATGTACTTTGTATAGTAAAAAAAAATTATGTATGGAAAAGTGTTTCGAGTCGAATGTTAAAAAGGAGACGATAAATATTTTTTTTTTTGATCGATAAAAATGTAGAAATAATGAGGTCAGCTGAGACGGTGGGCTACATACCCGCATCCCTTGCATTCTAGACATCGCCCTTAGAGGCCTTAGGGCCCTTAGGGTCCGCATTGTTTTGAAGGCTTGGATTCCGCCCGCGCCAACAAGCGATGCTACGAAGTTAATGAGAGACACCTGCGAGCGAGAAACGAGAGCGAGTCATAGCAAAAAAGACAATAAAGCTACGGAATTTTTTTTTTTTTTTTTTTGGTAACAAGACATTCCCTCTCAATTAGTAAGTAGATAGGGAGAGTAAAAATTATGAGCTGCTGGCGCCTTCAATAGAGAGATCAACTTAAGCTCCGAGTCCAACTGAAAGAACAGGGATTTTTTTTTTTTTTTTTTTTTTTTTTAAACAAGGATTATGGTAGAATTTTTTTTAGTAATTGTAAGCCTAGGGACTGTTGTCATGGAAACGGTTTCATAGCCTTGGTTGCTATGGTAACCGTAACAGTAGCAACGGTTGCTATGGTAACCGTAACCGTAGCAACGGTTGCCATGGCAACCGTTACCATAGCAACCGTTGCTACTGTTACGGTTACCATAGTAATTTTATTTTCACTTCAATTTCAGCAAAATAGAACTTCAAAATACTAATATAGTAAGTACTAGTTACTATATTACTAGTGATAAAAATTACGTTGCGAAAAAAATTTTTTTTTTCATTTACTCTGAACTTTCAGTCTTCTCAGAGCTTACAGTCGATTAGAACACTTTTTTCAGTCGTTTTTTAAGTCTCGTGTCCTGTTTTGGAAAAGAATTGTTTTTTTTTTGCTTATAAAAAACAATCGTTTAGTAGAATATTAATATTAATTACTATAAAAAGTAGACAACAGACAATTAATACATAGTATACAGAGAGTTATAGTACAGTAGAAATATATATATAGAAAATAAGTACAGTAGATACAACAATCAGCATGAAAAAAACAGTCAAAACACGCGAAATTAATTATTTTTGAGATATTTTTGTGAGTTTAAATAGGTTTTTACTTATAGATTGAAAAAATAGTGTGGCATTACTAGATTTATTTTATTTTCAAAAATTTAAATTTCTCAACACACACGCACACACAACATAATCAGCATCCTCCTGAAACAGAGTAAATTATTCTTTGTTACTTTGCCCGGCAAAAAATTGACTGAAATAAGTGCATGAAAAAATTTGTTTTACTTAATTTTCTATTCACTTTCTATTTTTTTTCAATTATTTTAATTTCATTATTTAATTATTTTCATTAATGAATAAATTTACTTAAATATTTCAAAATTAACTAAATTTTAAATTTAAAAAAAAAAAAAAAAAAAAAAAATGAATTTAAAAAGTTTACAATTTTTATAAATAAATGAACATATCACAAGGTTTTAATTTAAAATTTTGTAAAATTTCAATTTTGAATGAATTTAATGAAAAATTTTAGAGAAATTATGATTTTTGAAAAATTTTAATAATTCAAATTCTTCTGAAATTTTTTCGTAATAATTTTGGAAAAGTTAAAAATTGATTGCATAAATTCAATTATTTTCTCAATAGTAATAAAATTCTTTGCAGAAATTCAAATTATGTTCAAAAATTTAAAAAAAAATTCTCGTCAAAATTTTAATTATTTTTATAAATATAATAAAATTCTTCTCTGAAAATCAATTATTTTCAAAAAATTTCTTCAGTTTAGTGATTTGCAATGAATTTAATAAACTTTTTCAAAATAATTCAATTTTTTTAAAATAAATGTTGATAAGATTCTAAACAAAACATTTAATTATTTCCATAAATAATAAAAATTTCACAGAAAAACAACTATTAACAAATTTTAATAAATACATTTCTTCGCAATAATTCAATTATTTTCATAAATAATAAAAATTTTTATAAAATATTCAATTATTTTCATAAATAATAAAACTCATGGTAGAATTTGAATTTTTTTTAATACAATTCAAATTGAATTTCTCGAAGAATGTAATTATTTTTAAAAACTTTATTAAACTTTGTCAAAATAATTCAATTATTTTAAGAAACATTCAATTATTCATTAAATTATTTATTTTTATATTTAAATAATTGATTTCTCGTGGAATTTTCTAAAAAAAATTAATTTAAAAATGAAATTTTTAGTTAAAATTAAAGATTTTTAGTTAAAATTTTAGATTATAATTAAATATTAAATTTTGCGTGAATTTTTATAAATAATAGAGTTTTGAACAGGTTTCAAATTAAAATCTTTGAAAATTTGAATTTTTCAAACTTTTAACTAACAATTTTGAAGAATTAATTTTTTTAAAAGTTTAATTGAATAATTTGATAATTAATAATTGATTTCTCTTGAAGAATTTTAATAAAATTTTTGAAAATAATTATATTTTTTGTCGAAGAATTTAGTTACAATTGTAAAAATAATTAAAGACTTTAAATTTTAAAATTGAAATTTTAAAATTGTATTAAAAATAATTGAAATTCTATGAAAAATTCTATTATATATGTTAATAATTGAATTCTTTGACAATGAATTTTATTACATTTTTTTGTATCATTAATATTTAAAATTTCCAAAGTCCATTAAAAACATTTTTTATAAAAAATTTCAGTCAATTATTGTGAACAAGTAGCTAAAATATATAAAACGAAAAAAAAGAGAAAATACACAATATATTAAAATCTATTCATATAAATACGAAAACGTCGCGAAAATAACAGTAACACTTGAGGATTATTTTTCCAACAAACAAAAGCATACCTTACTCGTATAAAAAACACAACAAATACACAAATATAATAATTACCATAATTAACAAAAAAAAAAATTTCTCAAAGAAAAACAAAATATTTGTAATTTTTTTTTTGTTCAAACAGACAATATATAGCAAAAATACAACAAGAACTCCAGTATCAGTGCAGACATCAAGTAGTTTTTGGACGCCAAAGTGAACCTCTGCACATTATAAGAATAAAGCAAAAAAGAAAGGAAGAGAAAAAAATAATAGAAAACTGTAGACAACGCCACATGGAAGCATCAGCGTTCTTTTCAAAATTTTATTTTCTTATTTTTCATTATTATTTACTTAAATATTACCAAGAGAAAGCTGTAGCTTACAGTTAAGTTTTTTCGTCACTAATTAAAGTCACTACAAGATTAAATTTTTTTTCAAATTAGTTGTGAAGAGAATTAGGGACGAAAAAAAAGGCTGATTAAGAAAAATTTGTTTTCTTTCTGCCAATTGAGACAAGACTGTATTTTTTTTGAATCCTCTGGACCGTTGACTTACTCTCATCCCTTCCCAGCGAGAAACTGCTCTTAGGGGCCTCAAGGCCCTCAAAGTTCTCATTGAACGAAAGGCTGGAATGTCAGCTGCACCGGCCCATATTGCACCCAGATTGATCAGCGAAAGCTATTATCATTATCATCAAAACTGTCATTAAATTTCAATGATTCATCAAATTTTTTAAGTAAAAAAAATAGACATTTAGTTAAAAAAAAAATCGGCTGCAGACTCCTAAACCACCAGTACTGCATCTTAACGCTTAATTTGTAACTGTTGTACGATAAAGAGATACTATTATTTCTAAGAAATAATTTTCCTTTTAGGATTTAAATCGTTTATTATACGTTAGGAGTTTTTTTTCGAAAGAATTAGTTTACCAATGATAATACGAATCGAAATTTCTTTTTACAATTTAGTTTTCATTTGATAGCAAAATTTTGAAATTATCGAAAAACTAACGTTACATCATCATCCCAAAAAGAAAAAAAAATACAATTTAATTTATACAACTATATTTACTACCTTCCTTTTTGATCCTCTGAATTAAATTTCTCAACTCATTTAATTAAGAACAAAATTTTACTTATTTTTTTAATAAGTGAATTAAAAATTAATATTCGAATTCTTTTTTTAAAAACAAAAATGACTTACCATGACGATTATGAAGTCCAACCAACACCAGGCGTTTGTGAAATATTTCTGAAAACCAAGGGCCAACCATTTAATCAACATCTCCAAGAAGAATATCACTGTGAAAATCCTGTCCATGTAATAAAGAATATCTTGAAGAATTGGCCTCGACTGAAGGTGTACGTCCTCCAGAGCCTTGAAAGCAAAAAAGAAAATACACTTAATAAGGCAAAATTAGATACATTTTTCATGTATAATATTTAATTATTATTAATATTATTGTTGCAAATTTACATGTTGCAACCAATGTAACGAGCTAAATATTTTCGCATAATAAGAGAGTGCAATGACATTAAAGTTATTCCAAGTTATAATAATTATTGGCCAATATGAGAATATATCTCCCAATCCCTTAACCTCCACTAAATTCTGTCACACCCAAACCTCAATTTCAGGTATTAAAACTGATGTGTTCCAATGTAATTTGCTTCTTCGCGACAGTTAACTCCTGGAGTTAGGGACCAAACACGCGCGCCTAAATTAATGAATAGAATAAAACTGACCCAAAGATAATAAAAGTGGGTGGCATCATCATTTTTTTCCATTGGAAGCCACTGTATAAAAGATGCCACCCTCGCCAAATTCGCCAGTCCAGGAATCGCCACCAAGTTAAGTAGTCTACTACCCCCAAGTGTCTTCTTCGTATCAGTCCAGGAAACGCATTCAACTTAACAAGACACAAGTCACCATCTAATCAACTTGAAGTCTTCTTCGTGTCAGTCCAGAAATCGCGATCAAGTTAACAAGTTGTGTATTGTCATCGAGTTTAATCTTCGACTCCAGTTCCGAAAATCTCTTCAAGTACCAAGTGCATTCTTCAAGTCTCGTCTTAGTCAAGTTCGTTCAAGGAGATAATTTCTACTGCGAGGCAAATTTCTATTTATCTAAGGACTGCATTATTTCGACTTCAACGTCAAATCAATAATTCGACACCTGGACTCCAAACCTTTCACTTCGGCTGACCCGAAAACAATTCGAGAGAAATCTATTGCATATTCCGTTTCCGCTAGACAACGTCATTTCTTCGACCTCACACTTGAAGGATGCATCATTTGTTGGGTCTACGACTCAACAGGAATAATTTTAATAGCTAAGATACTGATACTCTTAAATTTTGTCCCCATTTAAATTCTCGATTGATACCACAAAGTTCTAATCCCTGACGACATATGTATCTAATCTTTCTCTCTGATTTTAATTGTAAAGGATTTAAATAATAACTTTAACAATTTAACTTCAATTTAACGTTACTGTTACGTCACCATAACCTATTTTCAATAATAATAATATGTAGAATAATAATTAATAACAAGTTGTTCATTTCATGATCATTTAGCTTCCTCAATATAATATATACCAATTGTATAATTTTTTTATTTTAGAATAATTATTTAAAGGTGTTAAGATGAAATTTCAAAAAATTGAAAATTTAAATTATTTGTGAAAAATTAAAATATTTACTAATTCTATAAATATTGATAAAGTATACACTTTATAGAATCAATTCGTTATTACATATGTCAGGAATGCAATTTTGACGAGAATTAATGAAAATTTTACTATAGACAAATGTTATTTCAAAAAATACAAAACTTAATTTTTTTCAAAAATGTGGATCTGCTATTACATTAAAAATTCTCTATATTCTTCAAGATTGTGTATAGGACTCAGTCCCTACTAGAACTCTGGTAACTTTCAGATGATAAGAATTATTAAATTTGGAAGAAATAAATTTTTATTTTCGTTTTCACCAAATTTTTATTGTCTGATGGCGTTCGGGTGAGGGTGCTACTACTTAAAAATTGAAATAAAATTCTCTAATCTTCAGGATTAAGTAGGGCTCAGTTCCTACTAGAACTCTGTCGATTTTCAGATGATTGGAATTATTAAATTTGTAAGAAATAAATTTTTATTTTCGTTTTTACCAAATTTTTATTGTCTGATGGCGTACGGGTGGACCTGCTACTACTTAAAAATTAAAATAAAATTCTCTAATCTTCAGGATTGGGTAGGGCTCAGTCCCTACTAGAACTCTGGTAACTTTCAGATGATTAGAATTATTAAATTTGGAAGAAATAAATGTTTATTTTCGTTTTTACCAAATTTTTATTGTCTGATGGCGTTCGGGTGAGGGTGCTACAACTTAAAAATTGAAATAAAATTCTCTATTCTTCAGGATTAAGTAGGGCTCAGTCCCTACTAGAACTCTGTCGATTTTCAGATGATTGGAATTATTAAATTTGTAAGAAATAAATTTTTATTTTCGTTTTTACCAAATTTTTATTGTCTGATGGCGTACGGGTGGACCTGCTACTACTTAAAAATTAAAATAAAATTCTCTAATCTTCAGGATTGGGTAGGGCTCAGTCCCTACTAGAACTCTGGTAACTTTCAGATGATTAGAATTATTAAATTTGGAAGAAATAAATTTTTATTTTCGTTTTTACCAAATTTTTATTGTCTGATGGCGTTCGGGTGAGGGTGCTACTACTTAAAAATTGAAATAAAATTCTCTAATCTTCAGGATTAAGTAGGGCTCAGTCCCTACTAGAACTCTGTCGATTTTCAGATGATTGGAATTATTAAATTTGGAAGAAATAAATTTTTATTTTCGTTTTTACCAAATTTTTATTGTCTGATGGCGTACGGGTGGACCTGCTACTACTTAAAAATTAAAATAAAATTCTCTAATCTTCAGGATTAAGTAGGGCTCAGTCCCTACTAGAACTCTGTCGATTTTCAGATGATTGGAATTATTAAATTTGTAAGAAATAAATTTTTATTTTCGTTTTTACCAAATTTTTATTGTCTGATGGCGTACGGGTGGACCTGCTACTACTTAAAAATTAAAATAAAATTCTCTAATCTTCAGGATTGGGTAGGGCTCAGTCCCTACTAGAACTCTGGTAACTTTCAGATGATTGGAATTATTAAATTTGTAAGAAATAAATTTTTATTTTCGTTTTTACCAAATTTTTATTGTCTGATGGCGTACGGGTGGACCTGCTACTACTTAAAAATTAAAATAAAATTCTCTAATCTTCAGGATTGGGTAGGGCTCAGTCCCTACTAGAACTCTGTCGATTTTCAGATGATTGGAATTATTAAATTTGGAAGAAATAAATTTTTATTTTCGTTTTTACCAAATTTTTATTGTCTGATGGCGTACGGGTGGACCTGCTACTACTTAAAAATTAAAATAAAATTCTCTAATCTTCAGGATTAAGTAGGGCTCAGTCCCTACTAGAACTCTGTCGATTTTCAGATGATTGGAATTATTAAATTTGGAAGAAATAAATTTTTATTTTCGTTTTTACCAAATTTTTATTGTCTGATGGCGTACGGGTGGACCTGCTACTACTTAAAAATTAAAATAAAATTCTCTAATCTTCAGGATTGGGTAGGGCTCAGTCCCTACTAGAACTCTGGTAACTTTCAGATGATTAGAATTATTAAATTTGGAAGAAATAAATTTTTATTTTCGTTTTTACCAAATTTTTATTGTCGGATGGCGTACGGGTGGACCTGCTACTACTTAAAAATTGAAATAAAATTTTCTATTCTTTAGGATTGTCAAGGGCTAAGTCCCTACTAGAACTCTGGTAACTTTTAGATGATTAGAATTATTAAATTTGGAAGAAATAAATTTTTATTTTCGTTTTTACCAAATTTTTATTGTCTGATGGCGTTCGGGTGAGGGTGCTACAACTTAAAAATTGAAATAAAATTCTCTAATCTTCAGGATTAAGTAGGGCTCAGTCCCTACTAGAACTCTGTCGATTTTCAGATGATTGGAATTATTAAATTTGTAAGAAATAAATTTTTAATTTCGTTTTTACCAAATTTTTATTGTCTGATGGCGTTCGGGTGAGGGTGCTACTACTTAAAAATTGAAATAAAATTCCCTAATCTTCAGGATTAAGTAGGGCTCAGTCCCTACTAGAACTCTGGTGATTTTCAGATGATTAGAATTATTAAATTTGGAAGAAATAAATTTTTATTTTCGTTTTTACCAAATTTTTATTGTCGGATGGCGTACGGGTGGACCTGCTACTACTTAAAAATTGAAATAAAATTCTCTAATCTTCAGGATTAAGTAGGGCTCAGTCCCTACTAGAACTCTGGTGATTTTTAGATGATTAGAATTATTAAATTTGGAAGAAATAAATTTTTATTTTCGTTTTTACCAAATTTTTATTGTCTGATGGCGTACGGGTGGACATGCTACTACTTAAAAATTAAAATAAAATTCTCTAATCTTTAGGATTGGGTAGGGCTCAGTCCCTACTAGAACTCTGGTGATTTTTAGATGATTAGAATTATTAAATTTGGAAGAAATAAATTTTTATTTTCGTTTTTACCAAATTTTTATTGTCTGATGGCGTTCGGGTGAGGGTGCTACTACTTAAAAATTAAAATAAAATTCTCTAATCTTCAGGATTAAGTAGGGCTCAGTCCCTGCTAGAACTCTGGTAACTTTCAGATGATTAGAATTATTAAATTTGGAAGAAATAAATTTTTATTTTCGTTTTTACCAAATTTTTATTGTCGGATGGCGTACGGGTGGACCTGCTACTACTTAAAAATTGAAATAAAATTCTCTAATCTTTAGGATTGGGTAGGGCTCAGTCCCTGCTAGAACTCTGGTAACTTTCAGATGATTAGAATTATTAAATTTGGAAGAAATAAATGTTTATTTTCGTTTTTACCAAATTTTTATTGTCTGATGGCGTTCGGGTGAGGGTGCTACAACTTAAAAATTGAAATAAAATTCTCTATTCTTCAGGATTAAGTAGGGCTCAGTCCCTACTAGAACTCTGTCGATTTTCAGATGATTGGAATTATTAAATTTGTAAGAAATAAATTTTTATTTTCGTTTTTACCAAATTTTTATTGTCTGATGGCGTACGGGTGGACCTGCTACTACTTAAAAATTAAAATAAAATTCTCTAATCTTCAGGATTGGGTAGGGCTCAGTCCCTACTAGAACTCTGGTAACTTTCAGATGATTAGAATTATTAAATTTGGAAGAAATAAATTTTTATTTTCGTTTTTACCAAATTTTTATTGTCTGATGGCGTTCGGGTGAGGGTGCTACTACTTAAAAATTGAAATAAAATTCTCTAATCTTCAGG